GCTTAAATCCAGATCCAGGAGCACCAACAATTGATGTATCAATCGATGGCGTTTTAATTCCAGGAGTACAAGTTGATGGTGGCTCCAGTGTGAATTTAATGAATGCGGATATAATAGAGGACTTGGATCTAAAGCAATTGCTACCTAGGACATTGGTCTTACGAATGGCAAATCATAGTCGGGTAAAGCCAATGGGAATCTTACGAAATATTGCCATTGTAATCGTGGGATTGACATACAAAATTGATTATATTCTATTTCGATTATAAAGTTCTATGTTATCATATCCTATTTTATTGGGAAGACCTTGGCTTTATCAAGCCAAAGCTAAGAACAATTGGAGCTGAGGTACATTGACAATTGGAAAAGGCCATGACCAGACTGTTTTACAGATGTATTCGGTATAATATCATGGAGAATCTCAATTGCCAGAATCAGAATTTACATCAGAATCCCAATTTCCAGAATCTCAATTTACAGATGTATCCGATACAAAAACCCTGTGTATCAATCTATTAACTTGGGCACCAACAAAATGCCACAACTAATTAAAATATATGCCAGTATTATAGGTACAGAATTGGATGCTTGAAAATAGTTTTTCGTCCATCACAAATCTACCTTTGCATGGTCGTATGTGGATTTGAAAGGAATTCTAGTTGATGTGTGTGAGCACCAGATTATTTTGGAGGAGGGTGTTATGTCAGTTCGTCAAAGACAACACCGACTTAATCTAAAATATTCTCTTTTAGTGAAAGAAAAATTGGATAAACTTCTCGACATGGCTTTTATTTATCCTGTTCTACATAGTACATGGGTGTCGCCAATTGTGATGGTACTGAAGAAGAATGGAAAAATCAGGATATGTCAGGATTTTTGGAAACTTAATGCGGCCACCAAGAAAGATTACTTCTCATTACCTTTCACGGACAGTATGGGTAACATGTTGTCATTATCACTACTAGGTAAAAGAATAGGAGTGAGCCACCAGTTAAAGTCATTTTGTAGTGTTATTTTGGGTTGGGTGGAGTGCCATTTTCTTATATTTCTTATGTTTTCGAGAGTAGTAGTTTCAATTAAGAATTAACACTGAGGAGCCTGTTACAAGTGTCGATTGAAGATGTTCCAGAATAGATGAGTCAGCAGCAACAACAATTAGAACTTCGGGATGTCCAGATCTTGAAACTAAATGCTCAAGTCCGTGTATTAGGTGAGTATAATGAAGATCTATCAAACTAGTTGAGGAAGGAGTTGATGGACTGGAAGAAGAAGAAGAAGAAGATTTGCAGTTGGAACTGGAATCGGTGGAACCAATAACAGATACTACGGCAATTGATTAATTAGATAGGCAGAGGGATCACAATTTTTGTGGAGATTTGTTAAGTAATTTTTAGATAGATATCAATTGAGTGTTTGCGAGGACGCTGCATAGATAGGAGTGGGACTATGTAGAATAGATATTAATTCGTTTTTGAAAGATATTAATAAAATATATTAATAATCCATATAGTAGAAAATTTAGAAAGATGGATGAGTGATTTAAAAGCAGTTAATTATAGAATTACGGTTAGAATCTGGAGAATTAGGAGAAAGTATATAGGAGTTGTAGAAGTTAATTAAGGTGCCAGACTATGATAGTCATGAGCCGAGGGCCATCGCTGTGATAGTTGTGAGCTGGGGTAAGCTTGGTGCTACCTCTTTTCTTTTGTTTGTTATTTTCTTTGAATAAGAGGATTGTAGAACGGGTAAATTAGTTTGTGCTAAAATTTTGATTTTAGTAGATTAGAACCGGTATTGATGAAATCAGGAAACCAATAGTCATGTGAAAGGTTCCAAGATACAGTTAACTGACAAAAACCGGTTGGAATCTGAAAAAGGGTATAGTAGGAGAAAGATTGATTAGCTAAGGGCCAGACTTGTGAGTCTTAGAGCCGGGGTATGCTTGGGTGCTACCTCTATTTTTTCTATTTCTTTCCTTTTATATTTTGATGTTTCGTTGTGTTTATAAAGAGAAGTTTATGAGAATTGTGTGTTGATCACAGTGTTACAGTGAATGCTGTATTGGACCAGAATTGATTCTATACATTGCACATGAAATAGTGTTATAGATTGAGAGATGATAGTTTGAAAATGATTGAATGACCATTGAGTTGAAAAATATAAATGAAGTTAGAATTACAGAGAATTGATAAGAAATTGAGAATGTTGTAATTGAAGTTATTAAATTAGACATGGTATTGAAGAATTAATATTATACAATTCAGTGATTGGGAATTAATTTATTGAATATCAAATGATTATATTCAATTAATGGTGACCTTAACAATTAACTCATGCGACAGTTCTTTTCCTTGTGTTTGAACCGATTTAAACTATACTTAATTCAAAAATTGTGGCAATTCGAATTTCCTGATTACAAGGATTGAGAGTTTTTGAATATTGTGAAGTGAATTATGGAATGGAAATGTGATTGGTATTATTTGAGAAGAAGAAAGATTGAATGCTGAAATCTGATTGTAGTTCAGCAAAGAGAATGAGTCTGTGTTTGTGTAAAACACTGTAATGTGAATGGCAGTTTTGTGTGAAGAATTCCAATGATTGGAATGAGGATAATTGTGTGCTGAAAGTTGTGAGGGCGCAGTATTACAGTTGGAGATTATGAGGGTGAATATATTAGTGGAAATAGTAGTTATTGGTATGATTGAATTGCTGTAAGGAAGAGACCGATAAGATGAAGGATGAGATTATAGTTTCCTTGTGTGTTTAGATATTGGAAATAAAAACGATATATTCAGGAGGTAATTGATTGTATGATCCTAACGTGAATGCTTAAGCAACTAGTCATTCCCCGTGTTCGAATCCCTTATACGAATTTATTCCCATTAGATTAATTTGGAATAAGTAAAACGAGCAATCATACTTTACTTGAGCCATACAAGATAACGGATATACAAGAAAGGAGACAAATGCCACCACCTCTTATAGAAGTGGACAATAATGAAGAATTTGAGGTAAAAGAAGTCTTAAAATCATGGCGATGCCAAAATAGGTTAAAATATCTAGTACATTGGCATAGATATGATATTAATGAATGCACATGGAAGCCATCCAAGAATCTAACAAATACATCAGCCAAAGTTAAAGCTTTTCAGCAACAACATCCATCAAAACCAAGATGAAGAGTCAAAAAATTCTTTGCTATGAAGCAAAGCAAGTCCAATGGAGATTTCATTCTATCTTGTATCATTGTTTCTTTAGATTTTTTAGTACTTAGGAGATGAAAAACTAACAATCAATAAATTCAATTCAAGAGCTATCATTTGCTAAGCTACCAAATGAGACATTGTGACTATTACAACCTTTGAGGCGGTAAAATCGAGATGAAGATCTTCACGAATAACATATTCTTTCTCAAATAGATGGCGAGATATAATACATTTGGTATCATGACTTGGAAAGAACTCCCAGTGTTTAGTGATACTTTGGAGGTAGAAACCACTCCTGATGGTATTACTAATGTTTTGTATCAAGGAAGTTATGAAGACCCCAATACTAATCAAATCTCACGGTGATCTTCTCGCCTTACTATGGAACATTATCGATGGTTGAAGGGACCTATCAACTACCTTCAAAGAGAACAAAAATCAAAGTATGTGGCAAATACAATTCAATATCTTCGACTTCATCAACATGTAATCACCACTTCTCGTGGAACTTGTTCTTAGAAAGGGAGGAATAATGTCACAGACATATATATTTACTTTAATAATTATCTAAATAATAAGAATAGATAGAACTAAGTCAAAGTATATAAATATGATAATATCTTGTAGAAAGCTTCCTAGAAGTTTCATAGATGCTGCTTTGTCTTTATACATGTCTATAGGTGATTGATAGGTTAAAAACTTGACCAACAAAGAAGCCATGTGTCGACATGTTGACCACTTGTGGTACAAGTTGGACATATGGCGCACACCTAGAAAACTTGCTTTAAAATTTAGACATGTGTCTTATAAGTTGGATGCGTATTAAAAGTCCTATAGCATGTTACTATATAGTTCTTAGTTAAGTAGTATATATAAAGACAAGAGTGAGGCCTTTCTTACTCTTGTCAACTCTTTTCTTTCTTTTAGTCTAGTTTCAAGAATCTCATGTTTTCTAATCTTTGGTAATAGCCATTCTAGTTCTTCCTTGAATATATACTTTCTTCTATTTTGTCACTTTCTTTTTGAAACAGATTCCACAAGTTTATGTATTTTCTTCTAGTTTGTGTCCTTGACAGTATGTAAGCAAGAGTTTGAAGCTATTGTTAGGATTTTGGCAATATCTTAAGATTCGTAACAAATTTGTAATTGAAATTTGTTTTGGTAGTTTTTTAAAATATATCAATACTTTCTGTGAAATTTTAGTTTGTTTGGACGGTCTCATTATGAGATATGATTTATTGAAGTTCATGAAAAATTCATCTTATAGATATATAAGGGTTTAAAATATTTTTATTACATTTTGGATGTTTTTTTGGTACTTAGGACTTAAGTAAGGATGTAGTTATCCCTATAGGGACAAATTATATATATATATATATATATATAAACTTGGTGCTTTTCTATCTTGAGACTTGATTGAGCAATTAGTGATAGCCAAGAGCCCAACACTTTTTTAAGACAAATTCTCTCTACCCGGACACCATACACATTAATTACTTTGGACTTTGACCAGTATTTAGATTGAAGATACACAAAAATCCTTAGTACACCTTAGTGAGAAGAAAGAAAGGGAATAAATATTTTGAAAATAAATTTAAAATAAATAAAGCACCAAGGAAGTGTGTAGATGGATGAAAACTGTCAAGATTAGCAATGAATGTGCTCATCTCACATGGTGTATTCCAAGGGTTTGGAAATGAATGAGGAATGTGGCCTTTGGAAAGTGATAGACGTCAACATCAAAGGGATGGATCGTGTTCCACAGCGGACTATACAAATGGAAACAGACATGGCCATTCTAGTTCCACGTGGATGCCACGTGCAGTAGGAATCGAACGGCTGGGGCTGAGAGGGGATCGTGGGGAAGACCATGGGGAGGACGTGAGACAGACTTGGATCCCAAGAGAGACTTTGATTTTGGGAGAGCAGACGAGGTTTCTGTGTTTTGTGGAGAATTATTGTTTAGATTTTTTGGCTATGGCGGACAAGGTGCTGGCAGGAGGGAAGCTGAGCGTGGAGCTGCTGCACAAGGGCTACGATGGCCCCGCGGTGAGCATCCCCATGCTTGGCCTGGGCGTGTATCAGGTCCCACCAAGGGATGCCTCGCAGGCCACGAAGCTCGCGCTTGAGACTGGCTACCGCCACATTGACTCGGCGGCGCTGTACCGCAACGAGCAAGCTGTCGGTTAGTCTTTCCTCTTGCTGCGTGCATGGGAGGAGCGTAAGATTGGCTCTTAGGTTATCTTGTTTTTTGAATGGACGACACGAGCGGGAATTCGATTTTGGTTTGTGGAATGAGTAGGTGATGTTTGCGAGTTGGTGGCAATGGTGGTGTGCAGGGAGGGCTGTGCGAGAGAGTGGAATCCCGCGCGAACAGATTTTCGTTACTACTAAAGTATGGAATTCTGATCAGGGCTATCAAAATACGCTCCGAGCATTTGATCGTAGCTTGAACGAGCTCGGGCTTGGTTACGGTACTCGTCGTCATTCTTACTTTTGTCGAATTTAAAGAAAAATTGGAGCAGGGGACATAATGTTGCAGTGAGACACATGCTACTTGGGCTCAAAAAAATTGTCAGCGATTTTAGAATATTTAGAGTTAATTGTTACAAGAAATCGAGCTTTAGTCCATGTGTGGTTTCGGTTGTCGCTGTGTTGAGACGTGATCTTTTTAGGGCGATACTTTTAAGGATTTGAATTAATACTATGAAGACTGGCAGTTGATGTATTTTGTGTCGTCTGTAGTGGATCTGTACTTGGTGCATTCTCCGATGCCCGCCGAAAGTCGACTAGACACATGGAAGGCCATGGAAGACATTCTTAGGAGCGGGAAAGCTAAAGCCATTGGCGTGAGCAACTACGGAGTACATCACTTGAAAGAGCTCTTCGCTAACTGTAAAATTCGTCCTTCCGTTAACCAGGTAGAACAGAGGTGGTCCTTCACAGGATTATATATGTTACTGTACTTCCAACCTAATCTATCAAATTTCGTTTCAAATGCTTTTTTTTCAGAGTCTTTTCTATGTTATTTTTCTTTTGAATATTTTTGAATTTTGGACTTAAATTTGATTATTTAATATATAAATACACACAAACACACACCAATATATACAGATATATAAATTTTCGTACTCAGTTATGGTACATCGAGATGGTACTCAACAGAACGTGTCTGAAAGTTACGCATGAGACTGACTTATAATCGGAGGAGATGAAGCATCGGGGTGCTACATTCATGGAGAACAATTGACTGAAGTTTTTGTTACTGTTGATGGATGCTATAGATTCAGCTGCACCCATTTGGAACCCATGAACAGTTGGTGAAGTTCTGCGAGAAGGAGGGCATTGTGCTTGAAGCATACTCCCCTTTAACGCAAGGGCGTCGTCTGAATGATCGAACTCTTGTAAAGGTACATCTTCTTTCTCATATTCTCTTTATGTTAGAAATAGTACGGATGATGCTATTGAACAGAACCCAGTCACGCTTAGATTTTGACACTGAATTCATGCTTGGTATGCTTTTATCCACATCTACTGTTCACTAGATCTTTTCCAAAGGGCATGCATGTAGCCTTAATCATATTTTTCTTGCACTTCTTCGAGCAGTTTTGTTCTAGGTTTGAAAGTTAGTTGAAGTGCTGTTGGGTGGTGTAAATAGATTGCCAAGGAGTACAACAAATCTCCCGCGCAGATTCTCATTAGATGGTGTTTGCAAAAGAATTTCGTAGTGCTTCCAAAATCAGTTACTCCTCAAAGAATTCTGGAGAACTCTCAGGTCAGTCTTTCATGTGGATATGTTCCTCTGGGTTAAGCGTAATACTAGTGCGTCCAAAAGGCTGAGTTGGTAATTTTTTGAGAACATGTCGAACATAGGGCCATGGATTAACTTCTATTATTATTCCCAAAAGGTTTTTGTCTATTACAATTGTTTTGCAAGGTTTCACATATTTACTTGAAATACATGTGAAGGGGTTTGAGACTTACAGACGTCTTTTTCAACGTACTCTTTCAAGTAGTCTGAAGGCAGTGTGGGCACTTGTTTTGGTTCCAGGTCTTTGACTTCAATATTTCAGATGAAAACATGGCCAAACTAGATGGGTTGGACGAAGGTTGGTATTGTGGATGGGATCCCACCTTGGAGCGTTGAATTATGTGCTTCTTGATCTGCACGTGTTAAAATGTTGGAACTTATCTCTTTGTTATCCTCAATAGGGGGAAGTGTACACATCACAATATCATGAGCTGACAAAACGTATTGTATAGTTGGAGAATGATCAGTTTGAATATTTCTTCTGTCACCAAATAAATATTTAACACGGAATAAACAGTTCTTTACAATAAATTTTGTTGGAATAAATGAAACCCTGCCGTGGAAGTAGCTTGTCATTGTAAATGAATTGGTTTGGATAAATTGGTCAAAGATAATTAGTTTATTTACTCTCTAAATTATATTACATTGCATATAATTGATTTCATTTACAGCCATAAATTGATTGTTTTTTTTTTTTTAAATTGTCTATATGAGATCTTTATTAATGCACAAAAATTCAAGAGAAGATGTTCAAGTACAATGAAAAAAATTTGACATAAAATAATGTAAAGTATACATAACTGAGTATGATTTTTAACAATGTTCTGTGAGGATGTCTTTTAGAAATACATTTTGACCCTTGGCTAATTTTCAAAAATGCACCTATTCTTCAAATGATGAAAGAAGGTTTTTTTTTATCTTAATTATTACTTTTGATAAGTTGAATAAACTTTCTAAATCTTTTTGTGCAAAAAATAAATGTTTGCAAAGGTGAATTATTTATCATGGTTCTAAAAACAAACTATGCATTTTTTTTTATTGTATGCAATGTTTTTGGAGAATTGTCAACACTATATCCCTAATTGATATTGCTATTTTCCAAGTGACTTCTTCATATAGAACTAGATAAAAATATGCCTTGCTTTCTTGCACATTTTTCCCTTTCTCTGCTTTGAGAAAGGGTGGTAGTAGAGAGGGAGACAATTAATATTTTGTAAACAATAGGTCATGCTATTTTTTAAAAAACAAATGTTTGTCTCATTAATTATTTAATTTATTTTTATCTTTATTTATTTATTTAATTTTTGGCTACCAAGTATATATATATATATATATATATATTTGGGTCAATATTGGGTTTAAATATTGGACTATAAAATGAGAACTAAGTATAGAAGCAAACATTTTAGTTAATTTAAGTTATACTTAGATTACATAGAGCGTAGCAATATTAATTAGGAATTTGCATTTACAATTCTCTATTTTATTTACCAATTGAACAAGGCTAAAATTTATATTATGATAGATTTTTGTAGAACCTACAATTTAATATTTGTTGAAAAATATATACAACCCAAAACTTAATTATAACAAGAAGTAGTCAATTCAAATAAAATTAACATACAAATATCAAACTTTCTTTTAAGATGTACTAAAGAACATTTTCTATAAGCTTCTTCTAACAATTTTTTTACTTAATGTTTCGATTTACATCTATATGATTTGTAAGAATCCAAAAACACTTAAAAAAAAATAAAATATAAAAAATGAACAATTTCTTTTTTATAAAAAACAAGAGATATTAGATAATGTACCAAATTATAAAAATATTTTATCTATCAATTTGGAATAGATTTTTTCAAAATATATATATATATATATATATATATATATATTATTAATTAATTATTCTAAAAGAACAAAAATATTGTTATATATATATATATATATATATATATTATTAATTAATTATTCTAAAAGAACAAAAAAATATATATATATATATATATATATATATATATATATATTTTGTAATTTACAAGTATGTAAAAAATAATTATTAAATAATTAATTTATTATATATATATATATATATATATATTATTTATATATTTTATATAATTTTTTATTTTACAATCTAATTTTAGAATAATCTTCTTATATATGATAATTTTTAAAAAATAAAATTATATCTAATTGGATTTGATTTTGATACATTTAAATCTACTAAAATTAAAATTTGGATTTATGATATTTAAATCTATTGCTATTATAAATTTATTTTTAGAATAATATCCTTTTCTTTAATAGATTTAATATTTATGATTTTTTATTAAAAAAATCACAATAATCTTGAATACTTTATACATACTTCTATATTAATTTTTTATTAAATTTTTTTAAACATGCTCTTATTTTACTTTAACTTATACATTATAAAAAATCTTTAAAACAAGAATGCATATCAAATGTATGATTTTAACATTCATACTTAGCTCTGAAAGAAAGGAAAAAAAAATGTATGATTGACAAAGAATAATTTTTGTGTAAAATGTTTACTAAGTTTATTTATATAGTCATATACTTGTCAAGTAATAATAATAAAAAAGTAACAAGACATGAACATTATATGTTAAAACTATAAATTAAAATAACCTAATACAATATGATAAGAAATAAATCAAAACCTCTAAAATATTAATAAATAAATAAACAAATTTAGGAGAAACTAAGCATCTAATGGCTTATTTTGTATTCAATTTATAAATAAGTCCAATAGATAGTATGATGGGGGGACCTTTGTAGGCACAACATTAACTTCTTCCATTGACTTCTTCTATTGACCTTAGCATCTAATGGCTTATTTTGTATTCAATTTATAAATAAGTCCATTAGATAGTATGATGGGGGGACCTTTGTAGGCACAACATTAACTCCTTCCATTGACTTCTTCTATTGACCTTAGCATCTAATGGCTTATTTTGTATTCAATTTATAAAAAAATCCATTAGATAGTATGATGGGGGGACCTTTATAGGCACAACATTAACTTCTTCTATTGACTTCTTCTATTGACCTTAGCATTGGCTTTTGCAGTGTAGACTTTGTGGTGGTAAATGAAAGTTGGGTCTAAAGCATAGAGAAAAAGAGTCTCCTATTTTTACTTCCTTTCATTGTTGTTACTATAAATCTATTGCTTATATATTACCAAAGCTTGGTCCTTGTTACTAATATTGCCAAACACTAATCTTAATGAGAGCTTATAGCGCAAACTTGAAAATATACTATGAGTCCCACCAATCTATTGGTGGATTGATTAAAAACATAGTTTTAAGTCATTTTATTATACAAATATTAAGGTTATAGAGTCTTTTTGACTATTTAATTATTTATAAGAATTTAGAAGTATTTATAAGTTACAAAAGTTTTATTGGAAGAATATTCATAAAAATAGAATCTTAGTAAGTCTTGGAGGTAATTATCTTAATTAGTTTAGTATTTTTATTTATTATTAAGTATTAAGGATTAGTTATTGAAACTAATGTCTTCATTGGCCTCCTATCTATATTTATTACTTATTAAAATCCTATCAATGATTAGTTAGTACTTAAAAGAAGCATGAAGAGAATTTTATTTCTTTTTAGTTAATTATATAGAAAATAGGATTTTTAGTAGATGTAAATTAATTTTATTACTATAAAAAATTAATAATATGGAAAAATATAGCTTTAAATAGATATTATTATTATATAAATATTATATGATTTTTTAGAATTTATTTATAATTTATTTAGAAATTTTTAGAAATTTTTATAGAAGATTTTAAGATCTTGGTAAAATTTAGTTTTATCATCTTGAAAGCCATTATGAAGAAATAAAGCAATATTTGAAGGCCATGAGAGGTTTTTAAGATAATTTGATGTTTTTAAATACCATAGTGAAGTCAAAAATACAAAAAAAAACAGTTTTATTGGTAGAAAATAAGAAGAATAGCAACTACTTTAGTCCTTGTAGAAAAGGAAGTGTATAAGTTCCATATGGGTTGTAGCACCTTGGATGTAGGTAGGAAGATAAGACTAAGTCCTTGAGGACTCTCTTAAAACAAAAATAAACTATTTTTAAGCCTTGGTGAGGCTCAAATTCTTAATCTCTTCAGCAAGTTATCCTTGAGGTAAAAATTATTCACTTATTTTTTTTATTATTTATATTTTATCTATAATCTATCATAACTTATTCATAGTAATTTGAATTTATATATTTTTTATGTCATTGAAAAGATAAAGAAATTATATATTTAAAAATATATTTTTTATTTTTTATTTTTTTTAAGATGAAAATCTAGTAAATAAACTCTGACTAGTTTTGTAGTGTAGAATAGCTTGATTGTACTTGTTTTACTTGTTTTATATTGTTCTTCTTTTGTTATTGTTTCTTGCTACTTCTACTTTATAAAAAAATCTTAAATAAGGCTATCATAGAATTTGAATTGAGGGAAAAATTTACCCTCACACATACAATTCAATATTTTAATTGCCCTATTCAAATAAAGCTTTTAGTTGATTATTAGTTTATACAGTGATCAATGCTATAGGAATACATTACCATACTAATATTAATATATCAATAGGATTATTTATCTAAACTTATCAACTAAGCCAAATCCTATTATATAAGCATAATTCTTATAATTAGATTAGGTTGATAGTTGTTCTTTAATTTGCAGAGGTATTAATTGTAGCATGATTGGAATTCCACAAAAAATGGTGACAACAAATTTAATTGATGGATTTATATAAATAAATGTGATTTTAGTGTACTTGATAATGAAATCAATAGCTTCATTCTACATCCATGTCTCAAATGTAATTTAATTTGGTTTTAACTTTTGGTAGCAAAATATTGTATGACTTGCCAAAATATAAGTCTTAAGAAGTTAGAAACTTTTACAAACATTAAGATGAATAGATGATTGATAAAGAATTAATATTTTTAAATTCTTGAATCAATAAGAGTATAAAGGGAAAGAAAGCATCTTATAGTAATTTAATGGACTACATCATTTTAAATGAATATTTTGTAGTTCATTATGATGGATTCTTTTTCAATAAAAATAAATGAGTAACCATCTAATAATCTGACTTTGGTGATCTTGGATGTGGATCAAGTTTTTAAAAATTAATACTATTATTGATGATATGTACTTAAGCTCTATTTTTGAGGTATCATGAGTTGTTACTTTCTTCTAGATCTAAAGTAAGCATTGCTACATCAAAAAAATTCAACTCCTTCATCTTTTTTTTTCTTCTTTTAGATTTGTTTCATCTTTTATTACTACCACATTTATCCAAAGATTGTTTGTTCTTTTTTCTAACCAACAAAGATAAGTACATTCTTATGCCTAGTAATCTTGATATCCATAGTTGTTACATTATTTGTTTTTTTAGATAGTACTACCAGAATATCAAGAAATTCAAAACATCTTTTATATGCTAAAAATAATGAATACATTATTTTTTTTAAGAATGACAGCAAATTAAAGATATGTAGTAAT